TATTATTAATCAATAAATGCCATCAAATAGATTATAAAAAGGAAACGTTTTCTTTCTAAAAATAAATCTCACATAACAATGTAAAGAAGTGTTTTTTAACTGTGTCATATCACTGTTTAAAGATTAAGCTTATTGTTTTGTTCTTTATGCTTATATTTTTACCTGTCAAGCAAACACTTCTAAATATATTTCATGCTTACTGAACTTTCAATTGGAATTAAGGCATGTGAAAACTGTGATAGCAAAAAGTGCTATTTTTAGTGTTGAATATATCATACATTTTTTATTTTTAAAATGCATTATAGACTGCTTTTGGAGCAAAACCCATAATTCTCTTTTTAATATCTTAAGTCAAAAATTTAAAAAGTAATGGCTTTGAGAGATGTTTCTTTGCATGTTCTTGAAATGGAGTGGCATATCTAAGATCAAAGTGTCCTGAAAAAATATGAGATATGTGGCCACTAGATAGATGAAATTGCTATTTTGAACAATTTAAAGTTGACTCAACACATATGAATGAATAATTTCATGTACATGCTTTAAAAATTTCAGAGTGCCTGGGTGGCTCAGTTGGTTGGACGCCCAACTTTGGCTTAGGTCATGGTCTCATGGTTTGTGAGTTTGAGCCCTCCATTGAACTCTGAACTGACAGCTCGGAGCCACCTGGAGCCTGCTTTCGATTCTGTGACTCCCTCTCTTCCCACCCCTCCCCAGCTCACACTCTGTCTCTCTCTGTCTCTCGAAAATAAATAAATGTTATTTTTTTAAATTTTCAGAGCATAATAATTATTATTGAACCTAAGATTGTACTATGATAGATTATATTTTAAATACTATTTTCATTTTTAGAGAGTATACTCAATGAGAGAATTGACCTTAATATGAACAGTTAATATATACTTTTAAAATAAATTAATGGTTAATTATACTTATAAATTTTACCTACATTAAGTTTCTCATGAGGTAGGAAAGACCAAAGTATATAAATGAAGAGAAACTGAAACATTTTGTATAGTTACCTTAAACCACTATAGAATTAAAAATAGAAATTAACACTTAGACATATGTGTTTAATTTTAAGATATGGTGTGACTTCTAGGCTATTAATGCTGACTCACTTTGTGCTATTTTGAGCTGAGCAATGCCTGTCAACTTAAAGCAAGTTAATAGACTGTACTGGGATAATACTTATTTTAAATCTAATAATTTGTTTAGTTAATATATGTCTGCTATTTCAATTAACAACTTTGGTACATCAAAAAATTCTTGTTAAATCTGGAAGAGAGGAATGATATGAGAATTTATTTTTTACAAAATATCTATTAAAAGTGTTTTCTTTATGTAGTATAATTAGAATATCTAAATAACTACTACTTGGATAAAAGATAGGAACATCAACATAACTCCGATGTATGAATATGAAGATTTAATGAGTGGATATAATTTGTTTGGGTATATTTTATATATGTAGTATATATGTGTACGTAATGTGTATATATGATGAATATGAAATCTAAATAACCATTACATGAATGAAAGGTACAGTTCTTTTTTTTTTTTTTTAATGTTTTATTATTTCTGAGAGAGGGAGAGAGACAACATGAGCAGGGGAGGGTCAGAGAGAGAGGGGGATACAGAATCTGAAACAGGCTCCAGACCCTGAGCTGGCTGTCAGCACAGAGCCCGATGTGGGGCTCGAATCCACGAACCGTGAGATCATGACCTGAGCCGAAGTCGGACGCTTAACTGACTGAGCCACCCAGGCGCCCCTGACAGGTACAGTTCTAAACATTGGAAAACACCAACAAAATATGTAATAAGTGAGTTTTAAAATATGCTAGGTGGTGATCATTGCTATAACAAAGATGAAAGAAGGAAGGAAAGATGTAAGGAGGGAGAGAAAGTAGGAAACAGGGAGAGAAAGAGAAAAACAAAGAGAAAGAAAAGAGGAAGGTCCATCAGGAACCAGTAGTTTGGAAAGGATTCAGTATTAAATAGGGGTAGACTTCATTGAGACAATGAGGTGGAAGGTAAGAGAACAGGACGAATTGATTTGCTATGTAGAACTTTCTATAAGAATACTTACAAAAGAAACAATTTATTTCAAAATTTAATATTACCCAAGTTGCAGATACAAAATATGCTGCCACAAATCCAGGCTTAAAAATTTACCTTTTTCAAAATCTTCTATATGAGGATAGGAAGTATCAGATAACTTTATTTTTATAAAATAAAAGCAAGACAGAGAATGAGTCCAAACATTGTTTCAATTTAAACTCTATTAGATGTTTGTATTGCTTGTACTATGTAGGTAAGGATATAATCAGTTCCAATAAAGGAATATAGTTTATATTTAAGTATTATATACTATTTTATTAATATCATAATCAGGTTCAATAAAAGAGGATCCAAGTGAAAATGTGGAATCATGACATAATCAATAACAAAACTTAAGGAGCTTTTAAATCTAATAATAGACACTAATAATATTTAAATTATTTGTATTATTTGCCTTTTGATATGCTCTGTTTCTGGGTATTTTAAATATTATCTATTTACAGGTTTTTAGTACCCTACCTCTTTAACTCTCTGCATGTTTTTTTCTTTGATATATGCATTAAGTGGCCACTAAATGCTTTCACTGAGTTGGCAACATATGATTTATTTAGTTGGAAAGGATACTTACTATCTTGTATACGAAGTGTCAAGCATTGTACCAGTCCCTAGGGATAAAAACATCAAGAATAAGACAATAGACTTCAATAAAAACTACTCTAATAGTTTAGTAGGGGGAGAAAACCTAAAAAAAAAAAAAATACAGTAAAGTATAATAATAATATCTAACTGTTGCTGAGAACTATTAACAGGGGCCACGTTAAGCACTTTATATCTATGTATTTATCTTCAATCCCATTAGACACATACAAATACTCAATCCGTCTTAAAACTGGTAAAGTGAAATACAAAGATATTCAATAACTTGCCCATATCACAAGAATAGAGTTTGAATTTGAGCATAGGCCTTCAGACCACAGAGTCTGCACTAACTTTCTCCCTTGTTCGGAAGAAACAGTGATAAACTAACTCATCCTAGAGATGTATCTGGAGTTTTCAGAGGGAAAGTGGTATCTGAATTGGATCTTGTAGATGAGTATTTGCCAGGCAGAGAAGACAAGGAGGGTTTTAAACATGGATGAGAACATTATAAAAAGGCAATAAGAATCAAAATTGAAAATGATGCAGGAAATCAGAAATCGCAAGTGCAGTTTGTGTATGGTTGGATGTGGAAAGCACAGTGAGCAACACCAGGAAAGATAGAGGTGGTGTTTAATTGATGAAGCACTTTTATCCTTTGCTAAGGGTTTTCTCCTTTAGCACAGGGATGACAAGTTTTATCCTGTGAAACAACACTGATTTATAGACAGTGGCTTGTATTTTCAAGCCATTGCTTTTAGAGTAGCATGGACAATTTATTGGGATCTGAGAAACCTTTTAGAAGGTTATGTAATAATTTAGAAGTTTTTGAACAAAGTTGGAGTAGAGAGGAGGGACAGTAATGAGGACTCTTAGTTGGTAATTTTATTTGATAATTTTGTTAGGTATGTGAAGTAAGGGGATGAGGGCAAAGGAGAAATAGAAAACATCCTACTTTTTTTAGCTAAGCTACTGGATGGATAGTGCTAATTAAGAGAAGGGAACAAAAGAGAGAGAGATGCTTGATTGGTAGAGGTGAGAAAGTGAGTTACATTCCACATTGTACATCTTGAAGTATCTAAATGGGGTCTTCTGTAGGTACCTGGTAATCCATGCTGCTGCTCAGTAGAAAATTCAGCTTTGGATCTGATGTCATCTATACAGATTGTGAGAAAAATAAGGAATTAAGGATTTCATTTAGGCATGAGCCCGTAACCCGAAGAAAATTGTCAAGATCTACTCTGGAGAATACTATTTAAAGGGCTGAGTCTTGCTATAGTAGCAATGAAGGAAGCTTTGAAGAACTAGTCAAAAAAATGGAAGGAAATCATATTGAGGTGGAAGTATGGAAGTCAAGAAGGGATGTGCTATACATATTCTGTAACATTTATTTCTCTAAATATTTAAAAAATATCTCTTTGGAAAAAGTGAGATGAGTGTCCCTCAGTGCTATAATTTTGACACCCAGCCTATTGCACTGATTTTAGTAAAGCATACCTTGATATAGTACTGTAAGCTTGGATCAAAGGATGTTATAAGAAAAGACCAATGGAAATTTTTATGTCTACTATGAATGCGCCCCTTCCTTCTTTCCTTCCTCCCTCCCTCCCTCCCTCCCTCCCTCCCTCCCTTCCTTCCTTCCTCCCTCCCTCCCTTCCTCCATCCCTTCCTCCCTCACTTCTTTTGAGAATATTGCACTGTTCCTTACATAGAAATCCTGGTAGAAATTTTACTTAAGTCTCAAAAATAGAAACACTTATGTTACTAGTGACCAGTTATCTATATCTGTATCTAAATTTTTATTTATATATCTACTTGATATGAATCATGTACAATATAATGTGAATCATGTAAAAGTTTATGTTTCCCTTTTTGCATTGACTACTAAATTGACTGCTTAGATTTCGCATTGACTGCTAAAAAGCCATAAAACCTTAGTGTACACATTGTGAATTGACTTCACTACTGACGCCATCTTTTGCACCCTGCCAAAATACCTTATTCAGTTTCTTCAAATTTGATTCTTTCCTGCTAAGTTGTACAGTAATATTTTTTATGAAACATGAGAAGTGTTTCCTGGAACAAGAAAGAAGATAAAAACAAATGTATGTATTAATTTTTGAAGGTTTCTGTACCGTGATTTTGACCTGCTGCTGACTTCATTTGGTAAATGTTTGCTGAATTGACTCAGTGGTGAGCTGATTATTGTTATCTGGGAGCTCAGCCTTTGTCAATGACTCCAAAGCACCTTAGATGTTTCTCCTGGTGGCTGACTTCGATCAAGGTCCCATCTCTGTCTTCTACAGTGACAAGGACAGTGTGTGCAGAACAGTGTGATGGCAGGTGCTACGGACCCTACGTCAGTGACTGCTGTCACAGAGAATGTGCTGGAGGTTGCTCAGGACCGAAGGACACTGACTGCTTTGTAAGTCTTGGAGCTTCCCTTTCACTCTCCTGATCTCCCTCATTCCTGATTGGACTCAGGCCCATTAAATCTTTAACATCTTATTAAAATAAGATCAAATTTCACCCTTTTTAGGATTAAGAAAAAGGTTTTACCTTTCTATAATTCATCCTCTCACTGGATAGCTATTGATTAACTAGCATGGTTCTGTTCTACTAAATGAATTACATCTTTTGGAAATAATTTATATTACAGATGAGATGTATTGGAGAATGTGAAGGAGAATCTATAAGATGTCTTTTTAAAAGCTAATAGTGCCCTTCCAAAATTTACTTTGATTACCTGTTTATGTTGTTGCATCATTGAATTTTCTGAGTGGGGGCTTTTGAATTTTATTTCTTGAATTTAAATTTCAAGATTATAAATATTGATTTCTAGATTATTCATAAATTTGTTCATTTAACTCTTTCCCAGTATATTTTTGTTTACATATTAATATTATTCAAAATATGGGGCTCCTGGGTGGCTCAGTCGGTTCAGTGTCTGACTTCGGCGCAGGTCATGATCTTGCGGTTCATGGGCTCGAGCCCCACTTCAGGCTCTGTGCTGACAGCTAGCTTGGAGCCTGGAGCCTGTTTCAGATTCTGCACCTCCCTCTCTCTCTGACCCTCCCCTGCTCACACTGTCTCTCTCTCTCTCAGAAATAAATAAAAAAATTAAAAATTTTATAAGATTTACAAATGCATGCTTAAAGCAATTTATATACTAATCTGTGTGATTTTTATTTTAGAAAGGGACAGTTTTCTTTCCTTAAAATTTACATTTATAGCTCGTTGGGGACATGTTTTAATTACATTTTAATATCCCCAATACAGTTCTTTCTGCTCTTTTGAATACAGTTCTGTGAACTATAGTTAACACAATTTCATAAATACAGATATTATTTTCATTTTATGCCAAAAATAATAAAATAAATTGTTTTTGCTATTAAACATGAACACAGAAATGCATTTTTTCCCATTCTCATATATCCAGAGAACACACATATATATTTAGAATTAAATATTTTTTCAAAATGACACAACTCTGAAAATAAACACAACATAAATTAAACCTCTTCTGATGTAGTCATTTCTTAATTTTCTTAATGTTATGAGAAAATTAATTTATCTACCCTAATCCTATATTGAAACAAAAGTATATATTGCAGAAGTGAATATGGAAGAAGAAGTAAAGAAAATAAAATGTTAAAAATTTAAGGAGGATGCTTAGCAGGTTTTGAAGTGAGATGCTTTCCCTTGCTTATCACTACATATGGGGGTAAAGCCTGATGTGATGGACACTGAACAGGTATTGTATTAACAGTTCCAAAGCAGTAACAACAAGAAACATCAACAATAGCCATTCTTTCATGGTTCCATTGTCAGGATAAGCAGAGTGCCTGGTAAGCCTTAGAATTCTCATTTCATTACTTTTATGGAATGGTCCAATGACTCCACATTGGCATTTGGTACAGAATGTTCAAGAGTGCCAGACTGAGGCCTTGGTGTAAGTTACGTTGTTTTGTCTGCTGTCTGGAAGGTACATTTGTTTGATTTCTTTGGTTTATGTCCTTTTGTTGCCAAGCAGTCTGTGCACAACACTGTGTAAAGTATGTTCATAAAGCAATTATGAAGACACATGAAGTTTTATAGCCATAAATTAAAACTCACTGAGTTTTCTAGATGGCTTTTTAATAGATTCTTCCTGGAAAATGCCATCTTAGTGAATAATGTATCATGAGTGAGTCTCATTCTGATTATGCATCTAGTAGGCCATCGTCATGTTTGTGATGAAGTGCTTGCTAAAACAACAATTGATGAAGAAAATGTTTTGAGGAAACAAAATGAATTAGTGCTTATTAATAACCATACATACAATTTGTGATGAAATATAAAATATAGCTGGAGTTCCTATGAGCTTAACTTCCAAGGCCAAATTATTCCTCTGAAGGTTTAAATTGTTTAATTAAGAGACTTAGTTAATCCACTATTTTGAAAGCCATGTTTTTATGTATATATATATATATATATACATATATATATATGTATTTACATATATATTTTTATATCAAATACCTAACTCTCAGGTGGTAAAGTTGTTTTTAATTCTTCTCAAATTCATTTGAACATATTATCAAATTGAAGTTTCAATACAAATATGTAAGTCAGCAGAAACAAGCTGTTTTATTTGAACTTGATAGCTTTTACTAAATCGTGTGGCATTATGAAGAAAGCCACACAGGAAATGGCAGCACATTATTTAATTATGAGCTAAGTATGTCTGCTTCCCTTCATTTTGGCATTAAGTACTCTGTATTTACACGGACTAGTGACCTGCTAAAGCCTTTTCTTTAAGTCCGGTTTAAATGGCTATTACAGTGTTTACTCACCATACAATGGTGACGAATCTGCTTACCATGCCACTTACGGCATTGAACTTTCCAAACACCAGTTTTAAGGAAAAATCTAGATGGTAGAACTGGGAAGTCAGTTGTCAGTGCCAGACTCTGAGACTAAACATAAACCCTTTAAATATGAGTGAAAATAATTTTTCACTGTGAGATAATTTTAATAATTTAAACTAATTATTAGTTTGGAGATTACTGGATAGAGACTAAGTTAACTTGAGCATCAATAATTTCGTATATATTTTATATTCATTGACATTGAAAAAACAATTTTATAAAATTTTAGAAGTCCTAAACAAATGAGAACTTTCAAATAAGCACTTAATGACTATAAAGTGTCGAATTTTATACTTTTTGTGAAATATAATAAGTATAGAGCACATATATATAAATATAAACATAATAATAAAGAATACATCCTTCTCACAAAGCTGTTACAGCAATGTTCTTTTAACGAGAATTATGAAGGTTATTTTTAAATGAAATTAATTTGCTATGTTGCAGGCCTGCATGAATTTCAATGACAGTGGAGCGTGTGTTACTCAGTGTCCCCAAACTTTTGTCTACAATCCAACCACTTTTCAATTGGAACATAACTTCAATGCAAAGTATACGTATGGAGCATTTTGTGTCAAGAAATGCCCACGTAAGTAACAAAATAAGTATAGCCAATTTAATTAGATCATCAGTTACAAACAAAAAAATGTTGTATACATTTATTGTCATTTAAAACTTGCAACAATAAATTAAGTATGTAAGTAAATACAAAAAAATAAAACTTGCAACAATATGGTGAATTACTTAGATATAGGTCCTATTGCTACTATTTCACAAATAAGAAAATTAAAATTCAAAAAATTAAACTGATTGGTCCAAAGTCTCAGCAAAGAAGTGGCACGTTTAAATTTAGAATGTGTTACGAAGACGGAGATGGAGGAAGGCAAACCATAAAAGACTCTTGAATACTGAGAACAAATTGAGGGTTGATGGAGGGGTGGAGCAGAGGGGAAAATGGGTGATGGGCGTTGAGGAGGGCACTTGTTGGGATGAGCACTGGGTGTTATATGGAAACCAACTTGACAATAAACTATAATAAAAAATAATAAAGTTAGAATGTAGTATCATTGCCTTCTAAGCTCACTGTTTTCAATATACCTCGTGTATTAGTACATGATACTGTTTCTCAAAAAAGTGATTAGTTAAGTGGGAACAAGCTCTGTAATGAATGAAGTCTGCTTCTAATCACAATGAATTTTTACCTAATACCATCTCTGATTACTTATGTGTAATAGATTATATAGCATGATAGTTTTAATATCAAATCTAATCTTAATAACAATAGATGTGAAGGGCATGTTGAGAGGTCTTTACAAAATTGATAACTCATCCTGGGATTCCAAGTGACCAGCTTCCCATTCATCAATAATTCAGTATAATATATGTCTTCATGTTTGTTCCAGAGTGAGCAATGAGACATTATTTCTTCATTGTTTTGCCTAAGAAAAAGAATCACTGCATTTGTCCACATACTCATTTAAAAGAAGAAGATTTTACAATCTACATCATATTACTATTATGGTTTTCTTCATTTTGTGTCTGTGGTTGAATAGAAAGTATAAAGGACATGGGATTAAAGTGGCTCTGGCTTCTGGCTTTTTCCACTTATTACTTATATGATTTTAAGTGAACTATTTAGTTGTCTGTATTCTCCTTAAGAGGAGGATAGTAATAATCATATTATTCTCTTTCCTAGAGTTATTATAATGATCAAAGGGTTGAGGAATAAGAATCAGAGGGATAGTATATAAAAACAAATGTTTGAAAACAATGATAATTCTAGTCATTATTATTATTTTTTAATTTTTTTATAGTTTATTTTTGAGACAGAGAGAGATAGCATGAGTGGGGGAGGGGCAGAGAGAGAGGGAGACACAGAATCTGAAACAGGCTCCAGGCTCTGAGCTGTCAGCACATCTAGTCATTATTATTACATATTTTTATGTTGGTTAAAAGAATAGTTATGCATATAAGCTTTTAACACCTAAATTGTGGCAAGTGGAGAACTATTTTGTGAAATTATATGCCCAGTTTCCTTAGCTAGCTCATAAATATTCTTTCTTGGAATAGTTTAGGTCAATCAAATTACAGACTAATTTAAAAACACTTCAGTATTTATCTATGTAAAATTAGAATATTGGAAGGGCCCTGCTCATGAGGCACGAACTATTTTGGGAAAACAAAGACATTTAGCTTCTAAATACTGGTCTACAACCTCCAATCCAGAATTCTAACATTCAAAAATTCCAGACAAATACTTTTTGCAACTCATTTGTCTGCAAAATCTGAACCTAACTCATATGATGGCATTTATAATTTGTATTTACTTCACTTGGCATATATTGCTGCAAAAATGTAGAAGTGTTTAAATATGGGGTATTTCTGAAGACCTTGCGGAAAGGATGGTCACATAATATGCAAGATATTCAGATATCACAGACTTGGTTCTCCTCACACAGAGATTAGGTCCTTAAGGAGGAATGTTCTCAGAATGAGGACAGAAAGAGGAAGAAAAGGAAGGGAACACGCCGTGAGGCAGTCAGTAATGTGCCTTTTGTTGCTGGATGCCCTCTGGTGGATGTTAACTGAGAATGCAAAAATCTTCACACTGTGCCCACTCCTATGGGTTCATATATATCCCTCCACCCAAACTTCCTTCAATCCCAGACTTCCCAATATTCCTTCTCCCATGGCAAGCTACTGCTCATGAGTCTGTACTTACTCTAAGCTCAGGTCACTTCTCCACAATGTAAGTGATCATCTGAATTACCCAGAACTATGCCCACTGGTAGGTTTTTTTCTTTTTTTTAAAAAAAATTTTTTTAATGTTTTATTTATTTCTGAGAGAGAGAGAGAGAGACAGTGTGAGCAGGGGAGGGTCAGAGAGAGAGGGAGACACAGAATCTGAAACAAGCTCCAGGCTCTGAGCTAGCTGTCAGCACAGAGCCCGATGCAGGGCTCAAACCCACGAACCACGAGATCATGACCTGAGCCGAAGTCAGACGCTTAACCGACTGAGCCACCCAGGCGCCCCATGGTAGGTTTTTTTCTTGCCACTTGTCTTTCAAGTCTGCTCCTGAGTGAGGCTGCAAGGCAGCTGCCATTCTTTTTGAGCTGCTTACACCCACTTAGGTTTTCCTCTCTGTTAGCTGTCACAAGTGCCCTCTCTTGGTCCCCACGCAGCCATAGGTCTGAGCTGAGTGAGAGGTGCCAGCAGGAGGAGTCTGAGCAACCTGCTTATGTATTTACTTACGCCTCTGCTGTGAATCATATCCAATATTAAATGTACTGCTTCTGTCTTGCGGTAGATTCCTGTTGGACATGGCCAACATTGTGACATCATGGTTCTAATAAAACCTAATTTATGATGGTCAAATCTTTCTTTAATTTTTTAAAGTTTATGTCTTTATTTTGAGGGAGAGAGAGACAGCGCATGCAAGAGTGAGCATGAGTGGAGGAGGGGCGTAGAGAATGAGAGAGAATCCCAAGCAGGCTCTGTGCTGTCACTGCAGAGCACTATGTGGGCTTGAACTCACAAACTGGGAGATCATGACCTGAGCCAAGATCAAGAGTCAGACATTTGACCAACTGAGCCACCCAGGTGCCCCTATGATGGGCAATTCTGACTAGATGGTCAATCAATGACCCATGGTTAGGTGCTCTATCTCTAGCCAGAAGCACGTCAGGAGTTGTTTATTAAATGGTGTATAATTATGTGCTACAGATTGCATGGCCTAGCTATAGAATTGTAGAAGTCTCTGACATGATTTTCCAGCTGGGATTTGCCATAAGTCCATATGAGTTATTTTCCCACAACAGACATTCCTACTACCATATAGCCTCTTGGGTTTTATGACCCAAGTAGCATAATTGCTTGCATCCCCGACTGGACCTACATCACACATGTTTTCTGATCTGAGAGCCCCCTTCAAGCCCAGAAGCCTTCCATACCACTGAATATTAGTCCAGAAGCAGTACTCCCAGATGTGAAAGGATACTGCCTTTAAAAAATAAAGTGGCCTAGCAGGTGTTGTGTATTCCCTTTATTGTGGGAAGCTCTAGGTGCAATAATTTGTTCTTTTCTGGGGAGAGACAATGTCATGGCATATTCCAGATCACCGGACCCCTAAATATTTCACCATTGTATCAGGAAATTAGATATTCCTGGTTTATGTAGTATGCCTTTCCTAAGATGCTGCCTTTCAAATTCCATTTTGTTTCTTTATATAAAACGAGGGAACAGTTTCTATGGCATTGCATTGAAAGATAGAACGCATTTTGAACATTTCCTCCTGGATATGAAGTGCACTTTCTTGATTCAAGGCAATTCAACTTCAACTTCATTTGTGCTTCATGTAACTTGAAGTATTTTTAGACTTCAAACTTGCATCATGACATGAAATGAAGTGGAACTGTTGAAAAACACAAACTAAATGTCATGTAGTTTCCTAAGTCTATAAAAGAAATTCACTCTATCTTGGGGGCAATTCAGGATGTGAAGCAGTAGTCAAGCAAGTACTAACCGTTGTTAACACATGCTGCCCTTGGATTTGAATGTGGATGTTCATAGATTCTATTTCAGATTGAGATATTTAAATGGAGATGTTTTAGGTAAAGAGATGTGTATACTACCAATGATGCTAATCCCATTGTCAAGCCCTAAAATACTTCTTTTAAACTTGTTTTCTGAACATCACCATTATTGCTAATTTTACTTTTTTTTTTAATTAGATAACTTTGTGGTGGATTCCAGTTCCTGTGTGCGTGCCTGCCCTAGTTCCAAAATGGAAGTGGAAGAAAATGGGATTAAAATGTGTAAACCTTGCACTGACATTTGCCCAAAAGGTGAGTGATAGCTGAGATTATTTTGTCTAGCATGGGGTTTTCCTATGTACTTCTTACACCAAGGTTTTTCCATGTACTTCTTAATGGACTGCCTAAGTTTGCTTCTCTGAACACATCACTCCCACACCAAACCTTCCCCCACACCCTTTTCCATGGCTTTGAATAGTTCTCCCAAGTATCAACTGTCTTAAAAGTGTGTATTATTGATTTTGAATAATCTATACTAAATGATCCAGGTAAAATTCGGAGTTCTCTTTGATAGAAACTCAGGGGGAAAAAAGTTGTGTTTTATTCTATATGTAGCAGATCTTAGAAGTTATGAACATAACAAGGAACACATGACTATCTTAACATCAAGAACCCATTTTAGTCACTTGCCACTCTATGCTAAATGATCTGCTGTACATATGAAGTAGTGCAAAGGGACAAATAACATGATATTTACTCTCCAGGTCTTTAAAACTATTTTGAAAGGTTATAAAATGACATGGAGATTTACTGTACATATTAAATAAATATTGCAGGTAATTCATGTCATAGAATATTAGTGGAGAAAGAAATCCTTTCTAGCTGTGTTGCTCAAATTCGTCACCAGAATGAAACTTAAATTAAGCAGGATGAAAGTAGAGTCCAAATTTTCTGGATGATATAAAACTTTCCAAAGTATCAAAGAGTGTCTTTTAAAAGGGCACACTTCAGACTTACTTTTAGTCTACGTTCTCTCTTTCTCTCCTCTCTCTCTCTGCCCCCAACCCATGCACCCACACAAATACACATACTTTGTTTTGTCTTCAAGTAGAGCCTTCAGAAAGTGTAGGTAACACTGAATTTAAGAATTTAAATATAAATACTTAAATAGCTCTTGATTCTGATTACAACTTACATCATTAGTACTTTGTTTAATATATATTTTTAATAAGACCAATATTTTTAAAACAACAGTTTGTAGACCATCCTTAGGCTATGAAATTATTTTCCTCAACTGACTTAAAAATATTAAAAATGATATTTTAGAAAGATGAGAAAATAGTTGATTTTATGTGCCAGGGCTAGTATTGATTGTTAAACGTTTTGTTTCAGTTATGCATGTGCTCTGTGGGTATACTGGGACTTGATATAAGATATGATTCTTATGGGGCGCCTAGGTGGCTTAGTCGGTTAAGCGTCCAACTTTCACTTAGGTCATGATCTCACGGTTCGTGGGTTCGAGCCCCATGTCGGGCTCTGTGCTGACTGCCGGCTCAGAGCCTGGAGCCTGTTTCAGAGTCTGTGACTCCCTCTCTCTCTGACCCTCCCTTGCTCATGCTATCTCTCTCTCTTTCTCCTAGAAATAATTAAAAAAATAAAAAAAAAGATATGATTCTTATGAGTCATGGTGACTAGACTATAATGCAGGGACAATATTTGAAAGCAGGCCCAACAGTAAAAGTTGCATGATTATTTTATTTGTTAGAAAACAGTTTATTTCTTATGTTGAATTCTTTTCTATCATTTTATAATGAAAACACCTGTTATTTTATTTTTAAAATGCACTGATTTCTTGATGACATCAAAGTTTCTCCCCTCCCTGACTGAGTCTCGTCTCTACAGCTTGTGATGGCATTGGTACAGGATCCCTGATGGCAGCACAGACCGTGGATTCCAGTAACATTGACAGATTCATAAACTGCACCAAAATCAATGGGAATTTGATCTTCCTTGTCACCGGTATTCATGGGTCAGTATTACATTTTTGTAGAAAATTATTTTACAAAGTATAGACAAAGCTTAAAAGATTCTTTAGCTTTGTCTGTTTGATTCCTTTTGACCCAGATGAGTTCTGCCCCACATGAACACCCTTCTCCAGCAAAGTCTGCCAGATTTTACCATCAGTGATAGTAAAAACCAGTTTTGAGATATATTCAGACTGTGAGTTTAGTAATACTTAGATTTGACAAAATGCATTTATATATAAACTAAAATGTATTTGTAAGACATCCTCCTCAAATCTACAGATTTCAGAAACCTTGACATATTTTTAGATATGTTTAGGGAAACGATATCAATGGGTACAGTGAGGAATTTCATTCCAACTCTGACGGATTAGTTCAAGAAAACATAAATTAATATTACATATTTTTAAGTTTATTTATTTATTTTGAGAGATAGACCACAAGTGGGGTAAGGAGCTATGAAAGAGGGAGAGTTAGGATCTCAAGCAGACTATGTGGTGTCAGCACAGAGCCTGTTGTGGGGCTCAAACTCACAAACTGTGAGATCATGACTTAACTCGAAACCGAGAGTCAGATGCTTAACTGACCAAGCCACCCAGGTGTCCCTTAATGTTCCTTTTAAAATGTATCTCATAGAAAACAAATCAGTAAGTTGAAATTCTCTTGAACTTTTAGAAATTCTCTTTGCCCTGATGTATCCTTTTCTCTTTCTTTAGGTTAGGAAGTTAGTATTAGTATAAGAAATCTATTAAATGAATTTCATTTTAGCAATAAAAATTGTAACATTTTCTGAGCTGCTTCATTACAGAACCACCTGCTGATTTTAACTGGGAAAACAACCAAGTTTGTATTCTTTCAGTTGTAATAAAAAATGTCACTATTTCTACTTTATATTTTATCTATTAATCTATATTACTCTTAATCCCTAAATATTAGTGCTAAAGGCTACAGATAAAGAATATTACATATTTCAATTCAAAATCTTAACTCTAAACATATATCACATCATATCTAGAAGCAAAATAATTTAACACATCATGAATAAATATGTCCAAATAGGAAAAGCAAGAGAAATAGAACAAAATGTTTCTTTCCATACAAATAAATTACAATAGATCTTATTACATAAAATACTTCTTTACTTTAAAATGTTGCTATTAATATGGGTTTATGCCAGATACTGTAATGGTATGTCCACACTTTCTGCCCCAGATATGTTATATTCACCCCAGGTGATGTTTACAAAATAAATATATATGGTCAAAATTTCTAACTTCTCATTAAAAATATGTAGACTTGGTTATCCTTAGCACATACTTCTAGATGGCAACAATATGTTGGAGCTGGGTAGTTCTAGCCATTTTGAGATAGGATAACCAAACTTACCATAGTCGCCACTGACTCTCTGAACCCATCTACATGTCTATCCTCACCTCCTTGGCCCAACTGGTAGGAGACCTGGGTCAACATTTAAGTGCATCTATATAATTGACTGCATGTATGAGATTTACTAAAACAATATATCCTCATTGTAACTATTTTCAAAAACCACATATCACCATGAATAAAAGATCATATCATGTTAACAGCCTCTTCTGAGAAATAGGAAGACATACCCACTTAATTCACATTGCCTCCTTTACATGGGTATAATAAATGAATTGGCCTCAGGTTCATCAGTGTGGGGAGATATTTGAAAACAATCTCATAAACTGCACTAGAGAAGTTGTTTTCATTCTAATCAGGCACATCTTGTGCATAGTTTTCTTACTTCCTTTTGAATTCTGAAATAAAAATCATAGAGAATATAACTTACCTATATCCATAATTTTATGAAGTGATTATAATTCTCTAATTGTAATTTAAAGAAATACAACAAAAGTAACATATAATAAAATATGTATTGTTAGAAAAATGCTCAGCTTCTACTTACTTGTAATGAAAGTTTGGATTTATGAGACCTAAGATTAGAAGTCATTCTGTGACAGAAGTATGGGGAAATAAAGAGCAGAGTAACATGACCACTGGAATAGGAAATAAGTAACAGACATATTGTTATATGATGAGAGGAAGATGGAATTAAATATTATTGAAATAGAGGCAATCTGACTACAGAATTACACACAGTCAAGGAATGATCAACTATGAAGTTTGTGCACATGAGTCCTTAATTGGGTGGGACATTTTATGGTTGTTCAAGACATAAGGCAAACCTTTGCTGTAAAAGACATTTAATTTTTTTGGCTTGAAGTTATTACAAAAAGCCTATAGTGTTCCCCAATCTATAGTGTTACCTTCAATCTTCTTTTTCTTTTTTTTTTTTTAAATTAAATTTATGTGTGCTTTGGGTAAAATAGCTAAGGTATTCCTTTAATAGGCAAAATTCATAACTAAATGAGATTATACTTTTCAAAAACATGTTTCTGCAAAAAACAAACTTATTGTCAATTTGTCAATTAAAATTTTAATATATAAAAGAACCCCAGAAGTTTTTTTTTAATGTTTATTTATTTAGTTTGAGGGGCAGGGTGGGGCTGAGAGAGGAAGAAGGAGAATACCAATCAGGCTTCTGCTCAACACAGTGCCTGATTGGGGGCTAGATCTCATGACCCTGAGATCATGACCTGAACCTAAATCAAGAATCAGAGGCTTAACCGACTGCCCCACCCAGGCACCTCAAGAACTCAAGGAACATAATTGGCATGTTTATAGCACAGTAGTGCCATTGCCAGAAATTACCTCGGCACTCTTGCTCCTTTATTTAGAATGGAAACCACAGGCAAACCTGTGATTAATGTAATCCATAGGAATGTTCACCTTTCATCTTTTGTCATGTTTGACAATGGTCATGCGCATGTACTTAAAGTAACAAAATGTTCACCAAATAAGCATGTCCATGCTGTGTTGCAATGAGACACAGACCAGATAGTAGTTAGATAATACAGTACAATGATGATAGACAATGGAAAAGAGATAATGGGTTTTAGTGAAAAATAAAGCAATTTCAATGGAATTGTAAAAATATGTTTCTCTCTATCCTGAGCTTTATTTTGGATCACTAAATACAATGACAGGGTGGACATAATGTTCTTTCACATGGCTCTGAATTTAGCTAGGGAATTTCTTGATTTTAAAGTACTATGGATTTCAAGTGGCTATAAGATGCAACTCCCTGCAGGTAGTTTGAAGTTGGTAAGTAGGATTCTGTCAACTTATTTTATGAGAGTCCTGAATCTCTCAAATTAAGTATATAAAATTTCTGTGGTCCATTGGGCTTCATTTGAACAGTCCAGAACTCATTTCATTCCTGGAAACTTGGAAGTGTTCTCAATATAGGTTTGTACTGACCCCATTATTATGTGCTTGCCCTGAATTTTTTGAGTGTTTCTCAATAAAGCCAAGATATTTGATTATATGACCAGAGCTGTTCTGTACACTGCTTTTCATCAAAGAACAAATGTTGAAAGCTCATTCTACTACCGCAGAGCTGATATCTCTGTGTATGAGTCTTTGCACATTAAAAAATGGTAACAACAAGATTTTTCACACATGGTGAACTTAATTTTTTGGCTTCATATTCATCAAAAGCTTACTTATTTGTTCAATGTATCTTCATTTATAAATAGAACAAGTTTTCCAAGACATTTAATTTAGACTTTAAGCTTTTGAGAGACATTCATATCACATTGAGGGAAATCTTAATTATGTGTGAATTATGGGGAAACTAATTTAGTGTTTCTCCAAGCCTTCTATAATACTCCCTGTTAAACTAGTAGTACGTTCTGCCAATTACACTTCTTAGTTTGAAACAATATTTAATCAAGTGGAGTTTCTGTTGTTGTTGCCTTTTTGTGTTTTGATTTTTAAGATATAGGATGCTGCATGGTATAGAAGAATACACAGATGAACCTAGTTGAGAGAGCCAGTACAATGGGGTTCCAGAGATCAAGGTTGCTGGAACTAATAGTGTTTTTAAGGCTCTAACGCTAGGATGAATAAATGTCAGTAGGTTCAGACTCAGATTCCTAAAAGATACCATATGTCTATCTGTTTGTCAGGGGTTATGGAGCACCTTGACTGATAGCCCTATTAAGGCTGCATCCAATGTATCACTGTATCCTTTTGTTTATTCCCCAAATAAAAAAGGAGGTTCTCAAAGATGTAAAACAGATGTACACAGCAAGAATAAAACTCAGTTGATTGCTACAGGTGGATACACGCTTCTAAGAAAACCTGTTCATTGTTCTTAGATTAGTTTTGCTTTGTTTTGTTTTGAGAAATGGTCAATGAATAGAACTTAATTTTTCTCTGAAGTGTGTGTAGTGATATGAGGTCTCTCCTTGTCTAGGATTATCTAGGTTGTCTTTCAAAGTAATAAAACTTAAAAACAAAATATATTCCTTAAAACAGCTTTAGGTATTACTTGAATTACTAAGAAATTTTTGGTATTGTGTTTATATTTAAGATCCTAGTTTGCAATTATTTTGTGTATTCAGTACATTATGCATGAAAAGTATCTTCCTAAGAAGAAAACTTCTAAAAAATCCATTAAATATTTAATTTTAAAAGATATTTTATGCTCATTTTTAAAAGACAGGGCATCTATATATAAATAACATTAATTACAAAAATATATTTATTCATTAGGAGACGATATTTTTTAAATCTCCAAAATTTACACTTTAAATTTACACTTTTTGGATATTATTAATTTTGTTATAAATTTTGTTTCAGATATTAGTATGATTCCTAAAGAAGGAAGCAAATATTTCCTGTTTTTATAAAAGCAAATATGAATAAACCAGATAGGAATAACACTTCTCTGAATAATCGTTATGAAGAGTAACTTTCATACAGTGTTACAAAAATCCACTAATAAATGTAAGGATACACCAAAAAAGATAAATTTGACTTCATGTATTTTTTTTAATATCCATCTTATGAAATTGTAGGTGCTGTTAGCAATTCAGAATGCTTTGAGAAGCCCAAAAGCCAATTGTTCTCACCATAAGTTATTTGCAGTTTATTTTTCCCAATTAAGAACAACATTTAAAGGCAAAATAAAATAAAATTGTTTATAAATGGACTTGTTATATTTGGAGGCTTCTTTAGGATACTCACACTGGACCATTCCTCTAAGTCTAGAATAGCCTTCAATAAACAGCTCATATTTGATGCAATCAAAAATGTCCTCAAAGCACCTTTTAATCCTTCTTCGTGTGTGGTGTGGAAAACTGGACAAGACATTGCTAACCTTTCTGTTGTACATAAAATTCAATTTGAATGAAGTAACTATAGTCACATTTCTTATGTTTTTACTCCTTTATATAATTTAAAATCTGGCTGTATCTTTTAATTCGTTAGGGACCCTTACAATGCAATTGAAGCCATAGACCCAGAGAAACTGAATGTCTTTCGGACCGTTCGAGAGATAACAGGTAATTTTTAAGTGTGATTGTTGTGCTAGGAACTATATGATCTTTAGTGTTTTACTGAAAATATTACATAATATTGAAATCAACTTATTTTCAAGGCAAATTCCAGTTTTAAAAATGCATGTTATTTGAAATGTTGGGTGTCTTTATTCCTTAGCACTTGTGCGCATTTGGAAAGCCCATGGAACTTATAAAATAAAATATCCTTGAAACTTTTTTACTTTTTTTGTGTCAACTGAACATTGAATCCATGTTTTGCTATTTATTTTTCCACAAGTACTACTGGGCATGGATAACATGTAGCACTCATTTAGGACTTATTTAGCACTTATTGAGCACCTCATATGTTCAGGGCTGTTATATAGTAGTTGATAGGGGACTCATAGACATAAATTAGATATGGATTCATGTCAAAGAATGGTAAATCAAATGAGGAGGGTTAAATATATCTATATGAATGCATTAGGATAAAATGTAGATAAATGGTGTTATAAGTATAAAGTAGTAAAGGTTTTCCAGAGAAATTAAAGCTATATTTTTCTCTTTATCTATTTGGACTTTGTATTTTGATTTTAGAAAAATAATTCAAATTAAGAATAATTTAAATCCTTTAATACATATAGTTCTCTGATTCCATGTGTCTGAGAAACCTAGATTTTTCGCTCATTAGTTTGATATTCATTATATTGAGTATTGTTAGCCCAGGAACTTTGAGTAAGGCCCTCAATCTTAGAAGAAGAAATATGAGATAGAATGACTCAAAATAGGAATATTCAGTGTATTTATTTTTACCTCCTATCTTTTGAGACATTTTCATTATATTTCAGGAATAATCAGTAGTAAACATGGTTACTGAGACAATGATATTCTGAGGTTTTTTGTTTTTGCTTTTGTTCATTTGTTTGTTGTTGTTGTTGTTTTACTGCCCACATTGTTTTTAGGTTTCTTGAACATACAGTCATGGCCCCCAAACATGACCGACTTCAGTGTTTTTTCTAACCTGGTGACCATTGGTGGAAGAGTACTCTACAGGTGGGTGTATATGTTTAGGGATGCAAGTCTTCCAGATTTCAAGAGTAGAATTATGTGTACAGATGTCAAAGTTTCAGCCTCATTTATTCTATATTTATTCTAGAAATATTGGGTTTCCATTTTTAATTCCAAAGGTAAGCCCAGTGAAAAATACCCCTTACTGTGCTTTAAAGTATGGAGGATACCAAATAAATAAACAAATAAATAAAGTACGCAGAATAAACAGTTTAAGTTTTCAACTGCCTGTCACTTAAAGCAATTATTAGTGTTTCATAAATACAGAGTGCATAATATGATCTCATAAAATCAAACCTTTTGATTTTATATTTAAACCTTTATATTTTTTAAAAAAATGGCATTGGATGACTTGGTACTGGCTTGCGTGTGTGGGATACACATGCTGTTTTACCAGAAGGCTCTTGTTCTGTTTCTGGTGCCAGCATTTGAACCATGAATCACAGGGCCGATATTTCAGGACTTGGATCACCAGTCTACGTGCAATGGAGATTAATAATGGACAGAACAATCAGGGCTCAGAAGGACACTGTTCTAAAGGTCTAATGTCAATATTTTTATTCACATAATAAAAATGAATGAGTAAATATTTATTACGGCGGTGCTTTATTTTATTTCAGATTTCATCTGTATGAGATTCTTATTTATGAACAATTAAAAGCTGATTTACATAAAGGGGTTTAGATTTAAGTTTTTCTGCTTAAATATGAAAGATGCCTTAAATCAGTATTATCATCACATATCCTATAATAAAATTTCATGAAAATATTATTGAATTTTTGAAAAGGGAACAAGTACTTAATGAAAAAGCATAGTTGAGAGATACAGTTTATACAAGTGCTATATACAACCAACTTTTATTATCCTTTGAATCAAATGTTAAAAATCTGTCAACCGTTATTGTGATCACATTATAATAAACAACACAAGATGGGAGCACAGATTTCAGAGAATGAATTACATCTCAGTTGAATATGCACATTACTTATATGTACATATATAAATCAATTTATCTTCAAGACATATATATATGGATATGTATATAAGAATATATGTAGGTATATGTGTGTATATATATATATATATATAATATCTCCATGTGTATGTGTGTGTGTATACATATATATAACACATGGGAAAACTTCTGAGCATTGACAGCAAAGTATATTTAGACTTATAAATAAAACAAAAGGGGACAGCTTTGATCCCCAAAATGTAAAATATTGTTCATTAGTTGATTGAAATGTGAGAAACACATGATTCTTTAGAGAATGAAAAAGGAACTTAATTACAAAATGTGGACTATGTTAAAATGTAAACAATTTCCTTGAAATGATAATTTGTTTCCACATTAGAGTTGTTATTTAATTTTTAGAGATGCTTTCCCCCAGTTGTCCAAGCCTTCTGAGTATTATTTTTTAACTTTTAGCTTAATTTTATTCTTCTCTTTAATTTTTAATGTCCTTTTCCTTACTTATACATTCTTCAACTATTAAAATTATACTCTGGTTTCTGAGGTATAAATTAAAGCTAAATAACTGTGGTCATTCTCTGCGATATTTACCCTCTGAAAGCAAGTCTAAATTTATGAAGTTGAGTAGAATTAATGTCTTACTTTATGTAGATGAACAATCATCCCATAAACATCTCTTAATTATTTAGGCTTTTTAAGGTTTTAATTTTTAAGTAATGTCTACACCCAACGTGGGGCTCGAACTCGCAACTTCAAGAACAAGAGCTGTGTGTTTCTTCAAATCAGACAGCCAGATGTCCCTAATTATTTAGTTTTAAAACAGAATTTCATCCTTGAGGAAACTTAGGGAATAGTGGGGAAAATAGGGAGCAGGTTTGCTAGTACTAAAATGTAAACAGAGATAGAGATATCATTAATATTTATATTTATGAAAAATGAACATTTTCCTTTTGGGAGTCAAATGCTTACTTTTAAAACTTGGTATATAGCATATAAAGAAATAATGTTCAGATCACAATGTATTGATTTAATCTATTTTTTATGATCTGTTCACATTCTTTTTGGAGTAAGATTTGGCATCCTTATTTTACTTCAGGAATGTATGTATGTCATGGCCAGAAAGTACTTATTAATATATACATATTAAACATTGTTCTGTTTTCTCCCCCTCCCTTCTCTTTAGTGGTCTGTCCTTGCTTATCCTCAAACAACAGGGCATTACTTCTCTACAATTCCAGTCCCTGAAGGAAATCAGTGCGGGAAACATCTATATTACTGACAACAGCAACCTATGTTATTATCATACCATTAATTGGACAACACTCTTCAGCACTATCAACCAAAGAATAGTGATCCGGGACAACAGGAAAGCTGAAAACTGTAGTAAGTACATTATTTGGACATTAAAACAAAAACTTTGGACACTTTCTCCCATCCTGTGTTGGACTAATCACTTAAAAATAACTGGTACAGAATTGTTTCCCCCTTTTTCTCAACCCTTAAGAAGGGAGGTAGCTAATCAGCATAGTGTGACTTTTTATCATCTATTGCATGTTTTTATAACATACTGCATGCTTGCAAATCTTTTCCAATCATAAGAACCTTCCTGTAAAGACTTAGATTCAATAGGTATAAATGGAACTGGGGATTCTAAATATTTAATAAGCATACTGGATAATTCCTTGCAGGTGATCAATTTGTAGAAATCTGGCCTATTGAATTTTCTGTTTGATTTTTGGTTTCAATGAATTTGGTATCATAGGATAACAGAGTATTTGCTATCTGGGGGTGGTGGCAAAAATGCAGATGTATTCTGGGGCGCCTGGGTGGCTTAGTCGGTTAACCGTCCGACTTTCGCTTAGGTCATGATCTCGCGGTTTGTGGGTTCGAGTCCTGCATCGGGCTCTGTGCTGACTGCCAGCTCGGAGCCTGGAGCCTATTTCAGAGTCTATATCTCCCTCTCTCTCTGACCCTCCCCTGCTCACGCTGTCTCTCTCTCTCCTAGAAATAAATAAAAATATTTTTAAAAAATGCAGATGTATTCTGAAATGTGTAAAAAAGGCTGTTAAGAAAGTTTATTTCATAAATGCATTTCTGTAGGCTTTTCATGGTTGCTTTGTTCATTTATTTTGCCACTTATTGATCCACTGCATCATTTTTTTGTTACACAGAAGCAAATGATGTTTTCATAGGCACATAACTATGGTATTCCTATCTTAAACTTTGATATTTCAATGGTTAATACTTAATTCTTCTGTGTATTTCTACTAAGTACTCTTTCTTTCTACAGCATACAAGTGCCACCGCTAAGCATGTATGTCTGCTTTACTTATGATAAATATCAAATAAAAAGACTTAGAATTTAAATGATCTATTACAAATACATATACTTGCTGTGGTCATAAAGTGTCAGTCTTCTTAAAAATCTCAACCCCTAAGAAACATTTTGCTGTTGGATTTCCTCAGCAACATTGGAACAGTCACGAAGGTATATTTACATAATGAGTGAGTTCATTTTGTATGTGTGTGAGTGAATAGCAAAGGACGTTTTTAAAAAGTATGAACTCTTAAGAGGCTTATATGATTTCGCTTTACCAAGTTAAAGAATGACTTAAGTTCTGAGTCCCCCACCTTCTTTCAAAAAGTGTTTAATTTGTGAGGAATTCACATTTTAGCTGCTTTGGCCCCTTATAAATATTTTTGGAGAAAAAAACTATTGCAACCTGAGGTTTTTGTTTCTTCTGTTCCACAAAGAATCGAGAAATATAAAATCTTATTATATATAAAAATATGTGTGTTTTTATTGAATAATACTTATCCTTTTATTTAGCCTGGATTATTTGCATGGTTTTATACCTTTTGATTTCTAACATAGAGCTTGTTTTTGTTCCTAATGCTTAAGCTTCTTATCCTATAGTTTTATATGTGTGTTTATATATGACCCAGACAGAATAGATTATTCACAGAAATTAAATAGAATCTTCCTCAACACAAATGTATAACTATTTTCCTAAATTAGGGTTATAGTTAGTCTCCTTTCTTCCTACTTCATTCAAAAAACAAAATAAAATAAAACAGTAGTACTACTATAAAAACAAGAAAACCTAAACCAAAAAAAAAGAATCAAAGAAACACATTCCTCTTTCACCCATTAATCATTTTACAAATCCCACATTTAATTCTTTTATCTTTTATAAACCTGAATAAAAAGTGAATGGGAAGGAGAATATGCAGAAAGAAATAAAATGTAAAAAAAACAAGACAGGGAGAAATTATGTGATCATTCCATACTCTTTAAGACTTCTTTTCAGGCAACCGAAAAAGTAAATAACAGTAAACTAAAAATCTAACATGTTTTTTCAATTGTCAGTGCTACACTTAGACTGAGTTTAGCCTTTTATCAGACCATGCATGTATTTTTTTGTTCTGTGTTCTTAGAGTGGACTTCTCAGTTTGGGGAAGAAATGAAGCAGTTAGAAGAAGCACAGTCACAAGTGCTTTGGGAGAAAATTAAGCATTATCTTTTTAAATTCATAACATTTTAGAATAAACAAATTTGCATGAAATCCATTGATCACAATTTGAATTTCAGTCTAATAGTACAATGGATCCTGAATTTTCAGAAATGTAACTACCTTGTAAACTTGACTTGAGAGGTGATGCTGCTGATGTTTACCTCGAGCCTGCAATGGTTGCCCAAACATGATTAAAGCCTTTTTATCATCCATAGTACTATCTGCAAATGTGAAAAGTTAAATATTTGCTTCATTTTCAATGCACTGCACATATTGCATTTTAAAGATGTTCTCTCTTAATATGCTTTGCACATAAAATATACACAATCACACACATATTCACACATATTCACAAGATACATACATATGTATGCATAACACATACACATGTACACACCCCTAGAAAACACACACATGCCTACATACGCAGTCACCATAAAATACTCTGATAGAAATTTGAGCATTGGCTTGGTAACTTCAAAGACAAGGCAGCCTTGATTCTTAACATTGTTTTTGGAGTTGAACATGATTTAAACAGCAATGACAATAAAAGAAAAACTTCACCTCACATCTGTAAAGTGTGAAAGTGGCTTGAGCAATCTTAAACTTTTAAGTCAAAATTTTCAAAGCAGACTTTATAGTTTGAAGAGATTGAGATGGAGAGAAACTCTAGGACATGAAAAGCTAGAACATTTTCTTTCTCCTTCATTTGTATGGCTATAGCACAAGCAAAATGACAGTGCTGGTTGGAAGAATTTTGGGGTAGGTTAATGAAAGTGTTTGAAGTTTCTTAAAATATCTAAACATAAAGTTTTAACACTAAAACATAAACAGTAAAGAGATTATATTACTTTAACCCTTCAGAATCCAAGTTATGTTTAAATTCATACACCTTTATCTTAAAATATATCTGTACATATACACTTAAACCAAACATAAACAAGAGAAAATAAAGTCTTAATCAATTTTCCAAAACGAAGTATATTTATTTTTCAAATTATCTTTGTTAGAAATCCAAACAATAGAAACATGGAAAAAGAATATGTAATTTTTATTTATAGATATATAGAATTTTTATTTATAGATATATAGATGATGAAGTATATCTCTTCACATAGAAATGGTATTAAAATAGATTTAAATGCTGTTCAGCCATCTGTCTCTATTTAATATGTTGTAAGCATCTTCCATGCAACATTTTACCTTATTGTTTTAAAAATATACATATAAATACATTTATTGACTAAGTGCCATGTTAATTGTAATTATATATATATTTACATTATTAGTACTGCCATAACATGAATCTTAGGTCAGAAAGCATGTGCAATGTTCAGTTATTTCCTTAATACTTAGAAGTGGGATTCCTGTGTAAATGAGATTACATGTGATAAATTTTGGTTTACTTTTCTACATCATCTTTCAAAAATGCTAGGTCAGTTTATACTTCTACACATGTTTGACAGAGAATATCTTCCACTACTCTTTATTACACTGGATATTATCTATGGTTTTAAATTTTGGTGATCTGAAATATGAAAAAGAGGTTGTTTAAATTTATATTTTTTGGCTGACATCAAACCTCTTTTTATATGTTAACTGAGCATTTCAATTTTCTTCTCTTGTAAATTAGTCAGTCATGAGCTTTATTTATTTTCAAATGGGAGTTGACCTTTTCCCTTTGGATTTGAAAGGCCTCATCACAAATTAAATATATTAAATTTTTATCTCTTGAATGTATTCCCTCTCATAGGTAATTTTAAAAAATTGCCTTTTGATAAACAGTTTATGTTTTTATCTAGTTAAGTGGTTAGATTGTTTTTTTTTTCTTTTTATGTTTATGATCCTGGCCTTGTCTTTGTCTTTTATTCCTAGTATTTTAAACACTAGTTTGAGGTAGCACTCTCCACAATAGCTAAAACATGGAAAGAGCCTAAGTGTCCATCAACAGATGAATGGATCAAGAAGATGTGGTTTATCTATACCATGGAATACTACATGACAATGAGAAACAATGAAATCTGGCCATGTGTAGCAACATGGATGGACCTTGAGGGTGTTATGCTGAGCGAAATAAGTCAGGCAGAGAAGGACAAATATCATATGTGTGCACGTATAGGAGGACTAGGAGGAACTTAACAGAGGACCAACCGGGAGAAGAAGGGGGGAAATGGTGGGGGAAAGGGAGAGAGGCAAACCATGAGAGACTCTTGAATGCTGACAAAAACTGAGGACTGATGGATGTGGGGGGGAGGAGGGATGGGCATGGAGGAGGGCACTTGTGGAGATGAGCACTGGGTGTTATGTGGAAACTAATTTGACAATAAACTATTTGTAAAAAAAAAAAAAATAAACACTAGTTTGAAATTTCTAATGCATCTAGAAGTTTTGGTGTAACATGACTTTTTAAAATAATTGATTAGGATACTGATCAAACATAATTTACTGAATAATTCTTCTCTCCATCACTGATCTTAGGTGTCTGTAATATATGTTTTTATTATTTTAGAGAAGTCAGGGGAGATGGGCAGAGGGAGAGGAGCAGAGGGAGAGAGACAATCTTAAGTAGGCTTCCACGTGGGCTCGATCTCACAACTCTGAAATCATGACCTGAGCTAAAATCAAGAGTCAGATACTCAAACAAACAACTGAGCCACCCAGGCGCCCTTGCAGTATTTCAGCTAAATAGCAAAACAGGGCCAGGCTCTATCTCTTGATCTATATAGTTAAATTTCATCTTTACTACTACCTTAGAAAGTATAATTATCCTTATTTTTAAGATGAATATACAGATGCTCATAAAGTTGAATAATATTCCCATTGTTTGGAACTGTTAAAAATCATATTCAGGATTTGAACCCAGCATCT